TTTTCAATTTCTCGGTCTTTTAGAAGTGCCCATTTTTGCAAATAATTTAAATGACTAAGCAACACGTCTTTGCTTTTTTTGTCCATTTCTGTGTTATTAATGCAGGGTTAAAATTTCTGTATATTTTAAGCATATTCCAAGCCAGGAATCAATCAAATTTCACTACAAACATTAGACCTTAAAAGGTCAAATGTTCACTTTTGGATTCATGATGCACATATCATGGAACAAGTCAAGTAAATGTCCACATTATTACAACCCTTGATCAAAAATTCTAAATGTAAGGTCGCAAGGCTAAAGATTCACCAAATTTGTTCAATTCACTTTAAGAGGGTATAACAAGTTATATTCAAATGAAGTGAAATCAAGAAACTGAGTGAACGGTGTTACATTTAAAATCAGGTACTCTGAAGTGGCAAGGATTGGCCTTTCATAAGTTTATGAAACCCTTCAGCTCTACAAACATGTCATAAATTTATGAAATCCTTCAGCTCCACAAACAAGTCATAAATTTATGAAATCCTTCAGCTCTACAAACAAGTCATAAATTTATGAAATCCTTCAGCTCTACAAACATGTCATAAATTTATGAAATCCTTCAGCTATGCAAACAGGCCATAAATTTATGAAATCCATCAGCTCTACAAACAAGTCATTTTCGCAGTTATACTTGTTTGTGACAATCATTTTTCCCGTAAAGAAATACAGTGGTGAAGTTCACTGACTGTGTAGTTTTGCCCTGGATTTGAGACGATGAATGAATCGGTAAATGCGAGCATCGCCGGATATAAATTGACGACTTCCGCTCGAATAATTTTTTTCTTTAATTCATGAGCCATACAATAAACAACTTAATAACCTCGACCGTTCTGTTGTTACGGGAAAATCTCAAACTTCGGCCTACTGTATTGACCTCGCTATCGCTCAGTCAATATGGCAAGACCTCAGTTTGAGATTGTCCCGTAACAACCTCACTCTCGGTTATTAAGTAGTTATTATTTTTAAATATAGGTCGCATTGATTTAATTGACACTATATTTGAGAGCTTGGTGAAAGTTTGTTTAGTGATACTGTGTTATTATTAAGAGTAATGTTGAATGAGTACAAGATGAGTTCACTTTACGTTCTGAATGTTTTTTCTTGACAGGCAAACAAGGAATACCTTCAAAGAAGTGTTAAAGAACACGAAGATAATATAAGGGAAATGCTCGCCAGTCGACCAAAGTAGTTCACGTTAATTAATTTCATTGTTACAAATCTTATATGTGGGTATACATGTAATAGTATAATAAACAGTATTTGTAAGTAGTATATGTGTGTTTCATTGAAAGTCATACATGAACCATTTTCAGTCTCAAATAAATAGGGTGATGTAGCAGCTCTTGTAAGGTCTCACATGAATGGCTCGATACCCTTTAAGAAAACAATAGAACAGACAACAGAAACAATGCCCCCTAGTCCTAAAACAATAACAGCTGTTATAATAATAAAACAGTAACGGCTTATGAGAGCTGTTACACTTCTGAATAAATATCATATCCTTGTGAGCAAGGCCTACAGCCACCTGAGTGACTTAATTACGGGGGAACCCAGTTAATCCAGTCACCAATGGGCCACAAAAATTTTGCCTTATTAACGGGGTGGCTTTATTGAAGGGGTTCTTTAAACAAGGAAATGACTGACTGAGCTTTTGTTCGGGTCAGAATAAAGTGGCCACAATAATGAGGTGACTGTATTTACGGAGTGGCGGTAAGGCGGGGTCCAATCTATTTACAACGTTACTGTACCTTGAAGAGTGAGTGTATATTTGACAGTGTTCTAAAATCTTGACGTCGTGCAGGATTATGCAGGATTATGCATGACATCAGAATTGCCAAAATCTATGCACAGTAGCTGCTGTAGTCAACAAAGATTTGCATGCACTTCTGTATATCCAAGCGCAACAAGGTCCATGAGAAAAGGCAAAGGGATGATATTTCTCCAGTGTAGTGTATATGGTCCCAAGCAACTTTAGTTAACAAGAAACTTTCATTTTAATTGAAATTAAAATTTTTATTGAACAAGTTTGTAGTTAGTGGAGACTTTACCTCTATAGTCTGATACCTAGATAATATTGGACTGGCAACAAACCATTCTGATTTATTCATTTTGATAATTTATTGGCTCTCTCAGCTATCTTGATTGTGTAAAAACATTTGACAGCAATGACAGATAGATAACAACTTAGCTCACACTGATTTTGTATGAGATGATGGTCAATTGTCAATATTGAGATAACTGCATGTATATTCTACAGACCTTCAGGAATTTCTGAAATCTTTTAGCTATTTTATGGTTAGAAATAATGGGAAAGTTTAGGTAAAGCTCCTCATTTTTTATAAATTACTCATTTAATGCCAGACTTCACCCATCTTTTGAAACTTATGATTTTCAGAAAACTTGAAGTTCTTCAAAATTTTATAATCATCTTTTAGAAGTTTGCTAGGAAGTTCAGACCAAGCAATTTGTTGATGTTTGCTTGAGACATACATTTTACTGCCCATTAATTTTGTTTCCCTTTGGAAACTGCATTATAGCAATTTCCTCAAGATTCTCTGGTGAACAAAATTATCAATGGTAAAGGTTTCAGTGTATCTTATTTGCCATAAATTATTACTTGTCTTTTAGTTTAATTACTGGTTAACACTTTATGCTTTCTCTTTCATTTTATTGCTGTATCAGGAGATTATACATGTATTTTAGTACTTTTCAGTATATAGTTGTTACTGTATACAAAATTTAAAAAATGGTGATGAACAAGTAGGTCATGGTAGTGAGCTGGAGGTTTGTGGAGTTTTATAATCTATCAAATATTTTCGCTCACACACAATTGATTTAAATGCGTCACGTGGCTGGATAATATTTCCCTTGCTAAAACTGGGGAATATCGGAGTGATATTCCCCAATTTTCATAGCTGTGTGTGTTGCGAAAAAAGATTTGAAGGATGAAGACAACAGCCTCCATTAAGCGTGAAAATTTGCTTGGATATTTGTCCTTGGACATTATCTGTTCCTTGATGCTCACAGTTTTTCCTCAAGCTAGGCTCTTGGAAAACTGTTGGAACAAATATTTGAGCATATTTCCATGCCAAATGGAGGCTATTGTTTATTTATTCTACTCTTATCTCTTTCCCAGGGTACAGTTAATACCCAGGGGAGGGGTATTCCTTGCAGTGGCTGTTATTACAGTTGAGCCTAATATTCATTTGTTTAAAAAGGAATGCAAACAAGTCGAAAGGGTCAATAAAAATCAGAATTTACCCTTTCACCTCATTTGTATGTCAAACCGCTGATAACTGTCTTAGAAGCCTTTTTTTTATTTCCTCTGCCATCCTGATTTACCAATCCTGGCCCCTTGCTCAGACTAAAAAGTGTCACTCTCATGACCCATTATCTGGCAGACCTGGCCATTGGCAGCAGTAACAGAGCAGTGGAGGGTTAAGAGTTTGTCAAAATATCTTATTAACATCTGCAGGAACCGAGTCAGAGGAATACAGTCATTGTCAACAGTCAAATATCAATTTTTGCAGCAATTTCCCCTCCAGACATGACTTATAATAATTTCAAATTCCATATGAAGTAACACACCATAGAATGTCATCATGGTGATAATAATTTTCATACTTTGTATCTTTGGTCTCTCCTTCTCAGTTTGAAGGTGAAACATCCCAGAAGAAGGAGATAAATTTTCATATCTTCTAGATGTAGTTTCCCTGAGAAACATCATTTATATTTTCTGAAGGCCAGTCTCTGTTGCACCCATTGTTTTTGTTTGCTGGCACACACCCAGATACACAACAGCTGCGAAAGAGGCTACCTTAAAGGAGCTCAGTTACGGTTTGCGCATATTGAAAAGTTTAGCCTCAATTTTTCAGATTCATCATTTGCAATCTGTGTCAATCTTCTCCATCCTTAGCCATCCTTGTTCCTTTATGGTTTATCATTATCTCTTTAGTGTTTTTCTATCTTATTAAACTGTTATTTTCAGGTTCCCTACCATTCAAAGGTAATTTTGTAAATGGCCAAAATAACTCAAAATACCGTGACTGAACCCCTTTAAATTGGAAGCCTTGGCCCAAGACTTTGCTACTTTCACTTTTTTGTCCTTTTCCCTTTTTTAGCTTTGCCTAATATATCACCAAAATAATTTGGAGTTTTATAGGTGGAAGCTAATCAACAGCTGGACCCAGCTGGGGCGCAGGTCCACATTGACTACTGTGCCCTCCCCAGAGAAATTAATAGCAATGCATGCTGGGTAACCTAGCCGACCAGAGTGTGTTTTCAAGAAAACACGGCAAGAGCTAACTTCACAACTTTGGCAGAAAAACCCTTTGGATTGCGATCCACTCTGTCTGTCGGTCAGGAAGAAGGGTATAAAGTGGTCAAGGAAATCGAAGGGATCTCGTTATGGAAACGTTATAAGATTTGTTCTTGTTCGGGGCAAGGATTGATAGGACCTTGAAATCAACTACCGACAGATGGTTCCATATCTGTGATTGAACGAACTTCACTTCTTCGAAGTAGATATTGACTAAAGGAGTGGTTGATTTGCTTGAAATTATGTCGAGGGAAAGTAACTGCGGTACGTATGCACTGTACTATGTATATGTATAAAATATATTTTGTAGTGGTATTAATCTTACTTGTAGTTTGAGCTATTAATTCGGGCTACAAAAGCTGTAATGTTTTTCCTAAGCTTGCAATAGCTGTTCTAAACATCGATCACATACAATGATATCTTGGCTTAACTTCAGTTTTTTATGGTGTCTTTTTCAGTTTTAAAATCGGTTGACAACATGGTAACCTTTTAATAAACTGTTTCAATACATTGTAAAGTAATCTCTTTCTGAGCGATTGTTTAAAGGTCGCATTTAGTTCGTCGTTTACAGCGACTTTTTTAAAACATTATTTCGATCCAAAGAACTGAATTTTGACCCTATGGAAAGCCTTAGTTATCATTTTCGTGGCCAAGAGCAGATTTCACGTACAGCTGTACTGATACTGCAATTCAAGCAAATCTTTTTATACTGACAGTTTCTTTGGGTCTTATCTCAGGATCATGCAAAATGACCCTACTAGTGGAGCTGAGAGCCAGATATTTTCCATGCGAACCTTTTACAACTTTATTTAACAGCCAATAACCATTTTATGATACCACGTTTGTGTAGTGTAATTTTGCTAGAACTGAAGTTGTGAATATATATTCTGAAGTGTACTTGCTAACTGAGTTGCTAGTGTGCGTGGTTTACAAGAAGAACTTTTATCAGTTGAACCAGCTGTAAGAAATGTACCCATGTCATCTTGCGGTGTAATGACTTCTATTGGATTGTGTCATTAGTTCTGTAAATATGTTGATCCATGCGTGACAAATATCCATGTTACATGTAATTTATGATTTTGGAAACCAGTTTTCAGAGCTGCCTTTGATCAGCATGCAGTATTGTACTACAACAAACTGTAACAAATAAGTCATAAAGTGGTGCACAATATAATTATTAACAGATAAAAATACTTGTCCACTATGACAATAACAATGGATAATTTCAAGAAATCGCTGTTACTGCCAAATTGAACTTTGTTCTCTGCCAATTTGGCAGTCTTTAGGACTTTTTTCATCCAGCTTTTTTAACAAGACAACATAATACATTTGTACATGAAGATGGTGTCCATACTTATTTATATGATAAGTAAAATTATTTTAACTGTCATGTTGATTCATTTGGTTCTTACCTATGATATATTGGAGTACAGATGCATAGATGATGTCATTAACATTCTTTTTTGTTTCTTTATTATACAAAACAAGTAGATTCCATGTTGCTGTGCAGCTGTTCAATAATACATGTAGATCACAGAAGACGTCAAAATGTGGTATAACATCGTTGACAGACTCAGCCTCTTGTGCCATTTTTTTGTCCTTACCACATTTTGATCTTTTACTGAACAGATGCCCAGCAACATGTAATCTCTTTGTTAAATTGATGTTTTACACCTGTAGGTTTCATCCATTTGTGAACCTCAGTAAGTTTTGTATTGTTCTCTCATCTGCCAGAAAGCCATACCAAAATGGAAACAAATCCTCCGCAGGAAGAAGAGAAGGTTGTGATCCCACCATACAGGAGCTCAGAATGTCATAACAAATCTTTCCAAGTTATGAACACTTTACGTGAGCAAAATCAATTATGCGACGTTCTGTTAAAGGCTGGAGGAAACGAGATTCCAGCACACAGGGTTGTCCTGGCATCATCCAGCCCTTATTTTCTAGCAATGTTCACTGGAGAGCTGTCAGAGAGCCGGCAAACAGTTGTAACAATGCGTGAGATTGACAGCCATGCACTTGAACTATTGGTGCAGTATGTTTACACTGCAGAGATTGAAGTAACGGAAGATAATGTCCAGGTTAGAGATTTACCAAACTGTAGTTAGTACATGTATCTTTTTTTATGTTTTGTTTTGTGTTTTAGTCAAGCAGAATTTACTCTAGACCTGAATACCTCTGCCTGTTTGGGACAATGAGCCTGTGTCTCCTTCCCCCAAACTTATCTCTTTTTGAGAAGGACCTCAGGAAGGAGAGTGGCAGAAATACAGAATATATTTACTCTAACACCATTAAAATTAGTCTTAAAAAGGTTGACCAGCCATTATGTACCCTAGTTATTAGTCTAATCTATTCTTTCATGAGCACAGTCAAACCTCTGCTAATGGCACCTCTCATAGGTGAACACCTCCTGTTAGTGGACAGTTACATGTAGCAGTCACTGATAATGTAAGGAGAAACAAAATTTGTATCACTATTAAGACTAAAGGATTAAAATAATTTGACATGTAGTAAAGGTCCCATACACTGCATTTTTGACCTTCCACAAGCAGACACCTAAAAAAAAGTGAAGCCTTGGAGCTGAATGGCTGCTAGCTGCCGGAGCTTATCACGGTTTCTGTAGCATGAAGCAGCTAGGAGTATTTCTACTCCCCCTGGATGGGATGCTAGTCCATCGCAGGTCACTCCCCCATAATTTTTTAGGTTTCCCCAACAATTCACGGGTACCCATTTATACTCCTGGGTGGAGAGAAGCACTGTGAGAGTTAAGTGTCTCACCCAAGAACACAACACAGTTTCCCCAGCCAGGGCTCGAACCCGGACCTTTTCAGGAACAAGTGCACTAACCATGAGGCCACTGCACCTCCCAGACGCCTCTGTAGGCGGACACTTTTTCTGTTCCTGAGGGTGTCCGCTCATGCAAGGTTTGACTGTACTTACGTTTACATGTATATTGCAATTCTAATCTTTTTAAAAAGGGGAAAAACTAAAACTATATTTAGATCTGAAAAAATAAAAATCGTGAAACACACTTGCTAGATACATTTTTGTGCAGTCTGTGCATACATGAAATTGAATTCACATGGAAATTAGTGACACTAAGTAAGACACTTATTTAATAATTTAGTCTTTTCTTGTTATATTTTTTCTTTTGTAGTCTAATTTTGTAACATTTATGAGAGCTTATTTGGTAGTATTAATAACTTGTTACCAGGAGAAACCCCTTGAACTTGCCTGAATATCATTATTGTTGTCTTTTTAGGTCCTACTTCCTGCAGCTAATCTTCTTCAATTAACAGATGTGCGAGATGCATGCTGCGAGTTCCTGAAGGCACAGCTCCACTTTACAAACTGTTTAGGAATCAGAGCTTTTGCTGACATGCATTCTTGTGGTGATCTAATGGTTGCAGCACATTCTTTTGCTGAGAAGCACTTTAGTGAGGTTGTCCAGGCTGATGAATTTCTAGCTTTACCAAACCTTCAAGTTGAAGAACTTATTTCAAGTGATCAGCTGACAGTTCCTTCAGAAGAAAAGGTGCAACAATGTATTATTGTATAATTGTTAAGTAATTCTTTTGATGCGATTGTTAAATTTGCATGAAATTTCTTTGCCATACATGTACTGTATAAGCTTTTTATTAACCATACAATGTAAAAAAAAAAGGGGGGGGAGGGAAATCCTTGCTCCAAACTATCAGTTCTTGTTATGCCTGCACTTTTTCTCACCTTTTCTGGCCAAAGTGTTTCGTACTTGAGTCCAAAAAGGGCAAAAAGAGAAACCACGGGCCTGTTTCTCGAAAGCCCTGGAATCTTTTCGGGCTCGCAAAGCCATTTTAAGTTCATCTGTATCTGTTCATCTGCAGTTCATGACTTTCACAGAAATTTTAGTGGAATGGACTGCACTGGGTGATCAGCTAGGGAGATTTTCCTGCCTGGATTTATCTAGTGTGTTTTTTTTTCCTGAAGTGGGCTAGCAGGGATATGCATCTCCAACCTAGACCAATGTGTTGTGTTCTAATGGCTAGGACGCTTTACCCCCACCTTGTCTTTTGCCACCCAGGAGTATACTGTAAATTGGTAGTAGCAATGCGTGCAGTAGAGCTTTGAGTCTGAGATTATTCCACCACTTATGCTAGAAGTATCTGTGATAAGCTGGCTTTCCATCCCGGAGGGGTAGTGTTAAGGGGGTAGAACAGACACTTCAAATGTAAGATACATGTGCCTGACTCCTCCAATCCTTCGCTTATACCTTCCATCGGGCAAATTCAGACATTAATGATAGAAGCCTGACACCATTTTTTATTCCAGGTATTCGAGGCAGTAGTCACGTGGGTAAATCACGACCCTGAACACAGGCAAGACTGCTTGGCGCAGCTCATGGAACACGTGCGCCTGCCCCTTCTGTCACGTGAATACCTCGTGAGCCGCGTGGAAACCGAAATGCTCGTCAAAAACAACAACATGTGCAAAGATTTCCTGATTGAGGCTATGAAGTATCATCTGCTGAGCAATGAACAGCGGTCATCCGTGCAGTCACCGAGAACTCGACCCAGGACACCGATTGGTTTACCTAAAGTGATGTACGTTGTAGGAGGCCAGGCACCTAAGGCAATACGAAGGTAATAGAAACAAGTATTCACCGAGCGACCTTACATTGTATGTGGACACTCTCTGGTCTTGTCACGCAATGCATTTAATATAAATTTAAATGAGGTTAAATATACTTATTTAACTTAGTTAACGACGAGGAGCGTGTTGCTCATTAGTTGGCGTGGCGTTGGCGTGGCGTTGGCGTTTATTAGTGTTTTTGGTGGCATGCTGTGGCGTTTGTTTTGTTGTTAGGGTTTGCGTTACTGTAATAGGCCTGGTGCGGAGCAGTTTTCTGTGCCCTCGGGTCAGCGGTTTATTGTTTCAATTTATACGTGTGCCTTTACATGTGATCGTAGTTTTACTGTGCGTAGTGTTCGGGGCGTCTTTAGTTTTTGGAGTTTTTTAGTGTTTTCTCCCACTCTCCTTTCCTTTTATTATCTTTACCTTAATTATTATTGATTTATTGCTGGTTTTCAGTGTCACGCCATTCAAAATAGATCAAAAGAACGATCAAAACCGTTCAATAGATAAAGTCCAGAATCTGGGATATGAAAGAAGGTAAATATGCAAAGGCTCTCGCCAAGATTCTGGTCACAGCAATTTTTCTTATGCAAGATATGCGGAGAAATTTTTTACCCAAATTTATAGAGATTTGTATGGAGACGNTACTTTTTCTAAGACATAAACTGTTCAGATAGCCAAATTCCCCGAAATAAGTCACTTTTTTAACCATCATGACAGCTCTCTAGGCCGTCATGTAAATGGTGCGTCACGCAAAAGCTTAGAAATTCAAGCGTAGTGTATCACAAAACCAAGAACCCACTCGGAGCGAAAACTTTTATGAATATTAGTTGTCAGCTGCTCTTATACATCATTAGAGTAAAATCTCAGGAAGATCAATAGTTTTGTAGTTTGAATTTTAGTGACGTCATGTGAAAACCAGTTGTTAGTATTTTTATTGTTATTTTGTTTTTCATTATTATTATCGCTCTTAATATTATTATTGTTTACTATTGTTATTATTTTTATTATTTCCACTGAGCTCCTGGCTCTGTGTGACGGGTGCTTGGGCTGGGGCTGGGTTTGGCGGGCGGGCCTCGTGGCTGGGTTGCGGGTAGGGCAGGCTTTTGGGGTGCTCTTGCTACCTGGGTTTGGGGTCGGCAGCTCCAGCCCCCGGGTTCCTGGGCACCCAACCTCCATGTGCGACTCAGGCGTTAATATTTCCTATGAGGAGAACAAGTAAGGGTGCAGTCCAAGGACGTCAATATGAAGAATATAGAATAATATTATAGGGGGCTGTAGATTTGACTGATTTCTCTAATACACTGTATTTTGAGTGGAACCCGGTTAATATGGGCACTAATAGGACACAAAAGCTTGTTCGTATTATAAATCGGGCGCTTATAAATATAAGCGGGCGCTCAGAATAACGTCACGGACTCGAGTTTTATCGATTTACTGTAAAGGATAAATTTAGCATACAATTTAAAACAGAAATCAAAACGATGAAAGAGAAGACGGACACTAGATGTACAAGTAATGCGACATTAAACCTTTACTGCGAGCACAATGAGCAGAAAGTCAAACACCCAAAGAGAGGTGTCTGTATGAAGTGGCGATGTCCGTAAAGTGGGGTTTGCTCTAACATCATTTCGTTTCGTGTTGTTATTTTGTTCTCTAATACTCACCATTCGTTTTCACTCATTTATTTATAGCGTGGAATGTTACGATTTCAAAGGTGAAAACTGGTACGCGGTTGCTGAGATGAACTCCCGCCGTTGCCGCGCCGGTGTTGCCGTGTTGGACGGACTCGTCTATGCCGTGGGCGGTTTCAACGGTTCGCTGCGCGTTCGCACGGTCGATTGCTACGACCCTGTGAAAGATCAGTGGCGCCCTGTAGCGTCGATGGAAGCGCGTCGCAGCACGCTGGGCGCGGCCGTGATGAACGGACTGTTGTACGCCATAGGCGGCTTTGATGGCACAACGGGACTCAACACTTGTGAAGTGTACGATCCGAAGCTCAACGAATGGCGACCGATCTGCCCTATGAGTACCCGAAGAAGCAGCGTCGGTGTCGGCGTTTTAAACGGTCTGCTTTACGCCGTCGGTGGGTACGACGGCGCGTCAAGACATTGCTTGAGCTCGGTTGAGTGTTACAGTCCTAACACGAACGAATGGTGCTTAATGGCGGAGATGAGCACCCGTCGAAGCGGCGCAGGCGTCGGCGTGGCGGACGGACTATTGTATGCCATCGGCGGGCACGACGGTCCGCACGTACGCAAAAGCGTAGAATGTTTCAACCCGGATCTGAACCAGTGGCGGCCTGTCGGCGACATGAGCATGTGTCGTAGAAACGCTGGCGTAGCGTCAGTGAACGGTTTACTTTTTGTCGTGGGCGGTGACGATGGATCCAGTAATCTGTTTTCAGTTGAAGTTTATAATCCGAGGACAGACCAGTGGGGCTTGCTTTCAACGTTTATGACGATAGGCCGAAGTTATGCTGGAGTAGCCGTGATTGACAGGCCTAACACTTAACCATGGCTGCTGGAAACGTTGCTGTGATCGTTGAGCAACGTTTCCTTCTGTCATCTGCTCTTTTCGTCCTGGTTAAAGATATTTAACTTTATACGTACGGTGTAAAACTGAAATTAGCGAACAAGTTAAAATGGAATGGAAGAGAAAAGATCGAAGGTGACAAGTTCTGAGTAGCGTAGGATTCTTGAAGTCTGGAATTCTTCCCAGAAGACGTTTACAAATCTTTCGCATGTTTTGCTAGGAAAGCTCTCGAATTTTATCCAAACTGCGACAAGCCACCTTGATTACATGAACCGTAAGTTTTTTTGTTTACTGCCTAGTCAATACTAGAAGCCATCATTGGCCTGTTGCTGTCTGGTGGTCTTCTACACATAATCATGTAAGCGAAGAGAAAATTATGAAGAGATGTAACAAAAACAGACATTAAAATTTCACTTAAAGTGATTTTTACGCTGATTCACGGCTGTTGTTTCTTGCAATAAGTTTATGTAATTTTTTTGTCTCGTGCTTAAAGGAACTACGTCAAAGTTTGCGCATCTTGAAAAGTTTAGCCTAAATTTTTCGAGTTCGTCGTTTTTCATCCGTCTCAATCTTCTCCATCCTTAACAATCCTTGTGCCTTTATGGCTTTTTTTTATCTCTTTGATGTTTTACTATTATTTTTAGTAAACCACTATTTTCAGGCTTTCTCCAGTTCAAAGGGAATTTCGCACGCCAATAAAACTCAAAAGAACTCAAAATACCGTGACTGAGCTCCTTTAAATGTGTCGAGTCTAACAGTTATTTTCAATATTTTTTCTTGCTCGCGATTGGTCGCAACACGCCACGTGACGCAAATGTAACAATATACCTCCGGTTAATTTTTTTGTTTAACCTAAAGGTGAAATGCAACTCGAAAATGGTTAAACTGCAGTCGGCTTTAATAGTGAGCGATTTTAGAGCTGTCAAAACATAAAGCTTGCCATGTGATTTTGAACGAATGTAAAGTGTCCACTTACTGTTTCCATTGTCTGATGAAAGAGCTTAAAATACGTGTGGGATAATTTTGTAGTACCGGGGGGAACTCCCGTATAATTAGGACGTGGGTGCTCATCGAAAAGTTTAAAAAGAACCCCTAAGAGGTACCAAGATCCTGTTTTGTGGGCGTGGCTTCAATTCTTTTTCACCCCTAAGAGGTACCAATTCTAAAACAAATTATCTCCAATCATTTTTTTTTTTCGGCTCAATACCCTGCAAGGTACCGCAAAGGCTCCCGCTGTGAAGCATTTGAGGCTGAACACCCTAAGAGGAACTGCTTTTTAAACCCTTAAAAGGTACGACAAACACCCCCGTTCTTTTTATATGGGAGCCCCCCCCCCCGGCACTTATCCCCTTTCTAGCACTCCACGTTGACTTTGTACCTCCAAGCTAACCGTCTTTAATCACCTAAGTCATGTGGCTGAAGAAAGATGGCCCATATTGAGGCAATAGGGAGACTCGTTGCCACAAAAAGGGACGACAATTTGCGAGAAAAAGGCAGTTCTGAGCGAGTTATTCGTGAACTTCACACACGAATAATCATTTACGTGCAAATGCAACCGCTGACCAACTATTTTGTTTGTTTTGCCGCGTGAGTGAAAGAAAAGCGAACGGCGAGTCCCGCGTGAATTAAGATAGTTTTGCCGTGAGTTGATTCTGTTTTGCTGTGAGTAAATTTAATGGTCTTGTCGCGAATGGACTTTTTGTTCCTGTCAGAAATCTGTCTTGCCGTGAGTTAGTTTCTTTAACCTTTTGTTTTGCCATGATAGTTTTGGGCCACGAGAGCAGATCGCGTGACAATCACGATAGACCTTGATGTAGTATATATGCCACTATCTCTAGCTGATTTTTGTCAGGTAAGTGATTTGCATTTCACATCATATTTATGTCCCTGCTGCGTTGAATCGCATACTAATACCAGCTGTAATCCCAGAATGAAGCAACGGCAAGCACAAAAGAAATTTTTAACTAGCTGTTGCATTATGTCTAGCGAGAGACTCCAACCGATTACATAACATCCTCGGTAGAATTTATCGGCAAGCACGAGGATCCCGACGGTTTCATCAGTCGATGAAATAATACCAGTATCTCACGCCTATATACACTGATATTCTGTGGAATCTAAAGTAACAAAGAAATTTATATTAACCATGCACACGGGCTCATGCTACACACGTGTAATGAGCTTTTCAATACCTGTGATTTTGAGTCAAATTATTTTTCAAGCTGAAGTCTGCATTGACGTTTATCGTTTTCTTAACGTTTCGTGTTTGAACCGGCAGGGTAATTCGCAGAACGCCGAATGTCGAATGCACTGCTTGCTTCCGGCTAGTTTCTTTCGGCGATCTGTCCCAATGGGTCCCCGGCTCATCTGCGATGGATCGCCGACATACTCAAATTTACTCAAAATGCAAATCGAATTGCGCAATTTTCAAATATTTTACCTATAAATACGGATCCAATCGTCTAACTGGAGTACGTTGCGTCCGCAGATGATGTTCACATAAAATATTTTCATCGCCGACAACCGCCGACAACCGCCGACAACCGCCGGCTTGCCTGCGAAGTTGAACTCAGCTCAACTTCGCACGGTCAATGCTTGGGATAGATTATGATTCGGCGATAAATGTTCACAAATGCCGTAACGGTGTCCCGGGTATGTCGGCGGTATATGAGAACCAGGCTTTACTTATATTTGCTTGCGGTTAGCCTTTATTTGTTGGACAGGGCCATATGCAATATAATGCTGTCCTTAAACAAACAAAAGCTAACCGCAAGCACACAGTGCAGTGGCGTTCGGCGTGCTGCGTTCTGCAAAATATTAACCCTGCCGTGTTTGAGCTAAAATGTCAATGGAGTATTGGTTTACTTCAGAGCCTGAAATATGCCCTGCCATGACAGTAATTATGCGCCAGTACGTATCAGTCCTGAAAGCAGTCATTACCACTCATTGGTATTGCCTGGGGATATTTGCTGATATTGTTCTCGTGTTTTGTTGACCGTCCTTTTCGTTTGATGTTTTTATAAACCCTGCCAAACATTCAGTCCACTGAGGAGTAAAAGAGTGTTTTCAAACTGATTTTATCGAGAGTCCTTCAAAGCCTAACAGCGAAATTGGTTTGTATTATGCAAGAAACTGGCATTCCATACGATTGATTATGCCATTTCGTCTGCCATTTTATGGGTGTAACTCATATTGTTAAGTGAAGAGGGAATAAAAAATCAGACGCTTGTGTGAAAAACAGATTCTATCAAGGTCGGATTATAAATAGTTATTAGTCCTATCATTTTAATACAGCACAAGAGTGGTCCAACGAAGAGAACTGTTAGCCCAGCACTTTCAATACATTATAGCCTGCGGGTATGGTAATTAGTCATGATTCACTGGAGCAACCTCGTTCCCAGGGTCTCTCATCTTACCGCCCCCTGGAGCGAGCGAAGTAAACCAAGAACGATATGATGTTCTGCGGCAATGTCCGGCGGTAATATTCTGCAAACGCCAAGGAAA